AGTAGTAGTAGTAGTAGTAGTAGTAGTAGTAGTAGTAGTAGTAGTAGTAGTAGTGGTGGTGGTGGTGGTGGTGGTGGTGATGGTGGTAGTATAAATGCAGAAGCAATTACTGGAAAGCCTAGACTTCAGGGTTGGAAGACCCCCTAGGCATCTGCTCTCCATGACGAGGGTGGCTAGCAGGCGCATTAGGACTGGTGTTAGTAAGACAGAAACAAGGACTCCAAGATCAGAGCGTGGGTTAGTAAGGAACAGCATATCACCACCAGCTGGGGCATCTCTGCAAAGGAATAGATATGAGCCACTAGGAGAGAAATGGAGATAAGCAGGGAACGTTAGTTGGTTAGGAGCAATGTAGTTGAGGCATTTGCTCGGGTTAGAAATGGGTTAGTAACAGGAAGAATAAAAAAAAGTAACCACTGACTGGAAAGGAGACGGGTAGGAATGGCCTCCATAGGGAGCCAGAGTGGGATTATCACCCCCTGGTAATCCCCACCCAGGACTCAGGGTCTATGAGCAGAACGCACACCTTAGGGGGTGAATGTGATGGGGCTCTGGGCACTGCCTACTGCAGGAGTTTCAGGTGCCTGGCAGGGGCGACTCTCATGCCTGAGGCTGAGCGAAGGATGCCTGCCAGGCAAGAGGCTATGGTGGTCCGGTTGATGGTGGGATCCCCAGCCCTGATTTGATCTGCAGGCTCTAAGAGGCAGTGGCAGGTTCCCTCCAGCAGACTGGACTGGCGGTCTGCCCAGAGATCCTGGAACTATAACCCAAATCGACCCAGGCTTCCCATTTCCCCTCAAAGGCCATCTTTGCTCTGCGAAGTTAGGATGGGGTGGGGGTGGGAGCCAAACAGAAACAGTAGTTAGTACAAAGCATGCTTCAGGTCCGGTTAGTTGGTTAGTCTGCCGGCAAAAGGCACACTGAGCAGCCCGTCATCAAACACATCTCCTCGGTACCAGAGGGGCCTCAAGACTCCCTGGGGTTAGTATGTTAATGGCACACATGCAGCATTAGTCCAAAGTTACTCCCTGGTCATCTCAAGAGGCCCCTCTCCTCTGAGCGCCCCAGGCCCCATCCTTGTACCATTCACAGCACAAACCCCAAAGCTCCCCTCCTAGAGTGCCCCCCCCTCCAACATTCTAGCCCCACCTCCACCTTCATGCAGAGCCAGAACTAGGGTCCGGAGCCTGCAGTGTTCCCGCTGGGCAGGAAATTGAGAGGGTACTAAGGCCACTATCCCAGGGATGCTTCATCTGCAGTCCCATTGGAGGGGGCAGCGATAGAAGTCTTTTCCAAGTGGGAAAGCTTGGAAGCCTCCTAGTATCTCAAGGCCTCCTGCTCCAAGTAAGCCTCTCCTTGCCTCCCCACACTATTGCTGCTGATGCCACCTGGCCCAGGTAGAGAAATTTCTAGTTATGGCTCTGCCTCCATGGGACCTGCCCTGCCTCCCCCAAGCCCATGCTTCTCCCTTCTCCTTACTGTCTGTCTTGGCTTTGCATCACAGGATCACAGACCTAAAGCAGGAAGAGACCTCAGAGGTCATCTAACCAACCCTCCACTTTGTGGAGAAGAAAATGAAGGCCCAGGAAGTTGAAGTAACTTGTCCGCGGTCACACAGGTAGTAAATGGTGGAGGCAGGATTTGAACACAGGTCCTCTGGCTCTAAATCCAGGGTTCTTGTCTCTGAACTATGCTGCCATTCCCAGAGTCTTATATCAACTTCTGTTGTTCTGATTTACATGCAGAAGTCTGATTTCTCCCGCTAGACTATAAGCTTCCTGAGGGCAGGACCAGGCTCTCCTCAATGTCCAAGTGTCTAGCATTATACTTTTTTTCATGCATTATAAAGTCAATAAACCCCTGGAGGGTTGAATTGGAATGAAATGAGGCTAAAGGCTGAGAAAACTTCCAGACTACTTGAGAAATGTGGCTGGGTTTTTTATTTTGGGGGGTTTTTTGTTTGTTTTTTGTGGGGGGGGGGGGTTTGACACACCCTCTCCAAGCTTGGGTTTCTAACTCCTGATAATCAAAAATATTGGTCAATGGGAATGTCTGGGGATGGGGGAGGGTGGTATTAATCTTGCTTAGGCTTCACATTCCACTCACTTTCCCCATCTGACTGCTAGACACCATCCTTTAACTGAGCAAGGCAGGACCTTGGTACAAGAACTGGACTGGAAAACCTGGGGGGCTCCAAAGCTGTTCTAAAATATTGCTCCATCCACTCACATGGAGGAAAAAACTGGTCTGCATTCATTTCACCTGTAAAACATTCCTCCCCTCCACCAGTTTGCACTGAGGCTCTCCTGTAGGGACCATATCCAGGGTTCAGGCAGCATAGAAACTGCCAGAGAATTCATCAGAAAGTATTCTTCCATGTCCCAAGACAGCAGGCAGGAGCTAAAGTATGAGGGGTATGCTGGGATACTGAATACTGAGGTGGAGGAGTTAAGAACTGGGACCACCAATACCCTTTCAAGTCTCTAAAAGAGTAGGTTTAGGAACAATATAGCTTACAGGTCATCTTGTCCATTGCCCTAATTGTGCAGAAAAGGAAACTGAGGCTCAGAGAGGAGCCATGACTTGCTCAAGTTCACACAGACAATTTGCAGCCAACCTGGAGCTAGAATCCAGACGTCCTACACAAGGGCTTTTCACAGTCTAGACCATGGTTCTTACTGACTCATGAACTCTAAGAGGTGGAATATGCTGAGCAGATAAATAGTTTTCAAAAGGAGTCATTTGAACCCACAGAGGACAGACATCCTTAATGGGTTATTACACGATCATAGATTTAGGGTAGAGGTCATTGGGTCCAACTTCCTCACTTTATAGATGAGAAAACTGAGGCTCAAGTTAAGTGACTTGCCCAAGGTCACACAGAAAACAAGCAGTGGAGGTGGGAAATGAACTCATTTCCTCTAACTCCACATCCAGTGTTTTCTCCACTACACTACAGAAGTGGGGACCCTCTGGGTCATGTCCCAACCCCTTCCAGGAGATCATAGAACATAACCAAACCCTCTCCAAAACTACTCCCTCCACAGCCCTGTCATAGTTAAGGGCTGAAGGGCCAAAGGCATCCACCCCAAGGAGGTCATTGCTGATGGCCTTAAGCACCTGCAGCCCCATCTCCTACCTAGTGACAAGGGTATATAGACCTAGAAGGTAGCAATACACCCTCTCTTTGACCTCCAGTGACAGGACATGAGTCTTAAGGCAGCCACTGTGTTTCCAAGTTTGCACCAGACCATCCACCACCACCAGAGGTCTTGACACCGCAGATACTAGAGCAGGAAGGAATCTCATTAGGTCAACTAATCCAATCCCCTGCCTTCCAGAAGGTGAGACCTCATTACCCTTATTTTGCAGATGAATCAATGGACCCTAGAGGTCAAGTATCTGGTCCAAGGAGCCCCAGCTGTGCACCCAGTTTAGAGTCTCTCTCCTGCTTGCCTTCCTCCCACCAATAGGCAGAACTTTGCAATGACAGGACAACAGTTGTCAGAAAGGAAAACCAATGGGCAGAGGGGTCAACATGAGATCTGTCATCACCTCAGCTATGGTTTGACAGATGACCAAATTGGACCCTGGCCACCTCTTCCCAATACTTATCCTACTGGGCATGACCCTTGGTCAATGGGGGTATCTAGGGAATTGGGGGAGAGCAAGTTTACTCAGGTGCCACATTTCACTCACTTTCCCCTTCTGACTGCTAGGCACCTGTCCCCTGGCTGAGCAGAGCAGGACCTTGGCCCAAGATCTGGACTAGAAAACCTGGAGAACTCCAAAGTCATGCAGTTCTAGAATACTGCTCCACGCATTCACAGGGGCGAAAAAATTGTCTACATTCATTTCATCTGCAGAACATTCCTTCCTCCCCTCCACCAGTCCTCCTCCAGTGAAGGGGGGCAGATTCTTCCCCAATGATTCTGGGGAATCCCACCAACTCTCCAAAAAGATGGTGCCTTTGAGAAAGGATTGAACAATAAAGGATGGGAAACAGAAAGGTCTCTATCTAGGAATCCAGGCTCCCCGCACTTCCCCCACCACTCACCCTTGAGACTTCCATCTTCCAATTTTGCATCCCTATTCCCTCCTGAAGGGGCCTTTCTAAGTGGAGTTAGGGAAGGCATTATTGAGAGAATGGTTTTGGCCACAGGCTGGGTGCCCTAGTAGGAGGGGGGAGGGAGAAGTACTACTTGGTAGGGATTGGCAAAGAAGCATCAGGCTTAGAGTTAAAGACCTGTAAAGACCATCTAATCCAACCCCCTCCTTTCACAGGTGAGGAAACCAAGGTCAGAGAGTTGAAGGCACTTCCCAAGGCTACATAGCTCCTAACAGAACCTGAGTTCTAACCCAGGTCTTCTGATGCCAAATCCAGTGGTCTTTGCTATATATCAAGCCCTTCCCTAGGCTGGAGAATCCTTAAGCTTGACCCTGAATTTGAGTCAGTGTTCACCCCTCTGCACCTCATGTAGAAGAAGCCAGGATTGAAGAGAAGGAAAGTCTCCCTGGAGGCTCTATAAATCCCCCAGGTAGGCAGCTGTGCCATGCTGGAACTCTTCCCCAGAGCCCCATACATGTGCCTTTACCTGGGGCTCTGCCTCTGGAGGCAGCATTATTCTGGATCTTCTGTTCAAATTCAGAGGCCATCCTTCTCTGTGGGACGGGAGCCAAGGCAGGAACTCATTAATAGACCCTTGGGTCATAAATCTAGTATGTAAAGGGTCTTCTGAGGTGCAATCCCTCTCATTTTACAAAGGGGGAAACTGAGGCCCAGAGAGGTGAAGTGACTTGTCAGAATTCACATAAGTAGAAGTAGCAGGGCCAGAATTCAAATCCGTGTCATCCAACTCTAAATGCAGGGCTCTTGCAGCATTCTCTGAGCTCTGGCACTCACTCTGCTGGGTGGGAAAGGAACAGGGTGGTAGGGAGGTCCTGAGAAGAAGAGTCCATCGGCTTAGGCTGAGTATCCTCCATCTGGGACTTGGTGATGGAACTCTGGACAAGGCCGGTCACTTCTCTCGGAGGAAGAGTCAGGATGTAGCAGCAACTGGAGTCCGGAACAGGCAGACGTCTGTGTGCACAGCTGCTCTGTAAAGGATGAGCACACATGAGATGAAGTCTGGGAGATTCTTCTGATCCCCCTACTGTCTACTCCTTCCTACCACCCCTCCCTCACTTCCAACCCTACCATACTGAAGGAGGAAGATTTCTGTCCTTTTCTGCCTAGATAAATTGTACTGATGGTTAATCTCCCCAATCTAAGCAGAGAAAGGGCCAGGGCTTATCTAAAATTTTATCCCTCCCGGCCTCACCCACCCATACCCACACCCAGAACAGTGTTCTATATACCATAGGTACTTAATATATGTTTTGATATTGTTACTAGGGCCTGGACAGAGGGGAATGATCACCATTTTTATACTTAGAGAGGGATAGAAGGAAAGGAAGGAAGAAATAGGTATTAATTAAGGACCTAGTATGTGCCAGGCTCTGTATTAAGCACTTTACAAATATCTCATTTCATCCAGTCAACAACTCTGTATGATAGATACTATTATCATTCTCATTTTACAGCTGAGGAAACTGAGGTAAACAGAGGTTAAGTGATTTGCCCAGGGTCACACAGCTAGTAGGTGTGTGAGATCACATTTGAACTCAGGTCTTCCTGACTCTAGGTCCAGTGCCCTATGCACCATGGCGCCACCTAGCTGTGTGATAAAGAGAGGCTATGTAGCCTATTGTACCTAAAATCAGGAAGGTGTGTCTGTGTGACCCTAAGCAAATCTCTCAACCTCTCTTAGCCTCCATTTCCCCATCTGCAAAATAAGGAAAATAATAGCACTTACCTCCTGGGGCTGTTGTTAAGACTAAATAAGATGATAAATATAAAGGACTTTGCAAACCTTAAAGTGGTACAGAAATGTTGTTCTTGCTGTTATTATTATTATAGCTATTATTTATATAGTGCCTTAAGAATGATAAAAACATCTCCTTTAAACCACCTTATAGTGAAATCCCTACAAACTGTTCAGTTTTTTATATTTTCCTTTCTTTTCCTTGTCTAAGGAAATGCTTGTGTCTGCTGATGCTTGCTAATCTCACAATAAAAAGGAGATTTTAATTTAAAAAATTAAATAAATAAAATCAGTAGGAAAAAAAGATAAGGAGGAGAGGTGGTGTGGCATGGTGGCTAGAGAATCTGCCTCAGACATAGGAAGATCTGGGTTCAAATCCTAACTCTGACATGTAATGGCTGTGTGTACCTGGGGAACCCGCAAGTCATGAACAACTCCCTAAGAGCAAAAAGTGAAAAGAAGTTATTGATCTGCATTGACAGAAGGAACTTCCTCATCTGGAGTTCTATAAAATAATGAAATCACAAGTCTAGTCAAAAAAAAAAAAAAGATAAACTGAATCTCAGAGAGATCCAAGGTTTCACACAGTAAGTAACTGTGAAGTGGGAGTGGGACCCAGGTGTTTCTGATTCTGAGTGCCTAACTCCAGGTCTGAAACTCATCTCACTGCCCATTTCTATTTCTTTCAACACACATTTCTTGAGCACCTTAAGTGCCTTCCTCACAATAATCCTCTAGGACTGGTAGTACAAAGATTGTTGCCCCCATGTGACAAATGAGGAAACAGGATCTTGAAGGCTAAGTGGTTTGCCCAATGACAGAGAGACTGTAAGTAGAGGGAGAGTAAGAGTAAAGTAGAAGAATCTAATTCCCAACTGTAGAATGAGAGAAATTATTTTACTATTACATTAATAACCAATTATTAATTTGGGATCCAGGCTTTTCTCCTTTATTTCCTCAGTTAAGGTCCAGCCCCTATAAAAAGTCAGTCTCTGAAGGACATGACTGGTTGATGAGATTGTCCTAGCCCTCAAGGCACAAGCTCTTCAATCTCTGGACTTCACCGAGTGTAAACAGAATCCAATCTAGATGAGTTGTTACACTAAGAAAATGAGCTCCTGTCCTTGTATCCCTCCATTAAAGTTTAAAGTGATCCAGCTCATGAAGGAGAAAACCAGCCAGAGTGATCTAGGTGGAGATAGATTCCCCTGTCCAGATTTCTGGAGGTACCTGAGTCTCATGATCAAATCATGTTCTCAGCAGGAGGAGCTGAAGACTTCTGGCCCACCCCTTATTAAATGTCCACCAATCAGGGTTGATTTTCATTTGTCAGGGGCATTCCCTTTCCAAAAACATTTAAGGCTTTCAAGCTCTCCATGTTTTTGTCTTTGGTCACCAAGAGAAACCACTGGCCATCAATTTATTGATTGAGGGTTAGCTTAATTAATAAATTGATTATTAATTATCCAGAAACTCTGTCTCTCAGGGTTTTCATTCATCACATAGAATCAATGGATATTGAGAGACATGAGTTCGTCGTTCCAACAGATTCTCTGGCTTGTGGAGGGTATGGGGCAGGGACCTAAGCAAACTCTTCAAGAATCACAGAATTTAAAAAAAAAATCACAGAATTTCAAAACTGGAAGGGACAAGAGAGACCAGCTCATCCAACTTATGTCTGAACAAGAATCCTTTCTACAAGGACCCTAACAAGTAGTTTGCTCTACCTTCTTCTCTAACCTATGGGCTACTCTTCAAATTGATTTCTCTTGGTTCTCACCTGGAAGTGTCCAACCAACTGGTTGACAGTAAGAAAGAATCATGGTAGGCATTTCTCAGGCTGCAGACCCTGGATGTGCTTGTGAACTGTCCAGGTTGGGTCCTTAGTGGCTGGAAGAGAAGACAACCGAGCAAAGCAGCAGAAGAAAACAAGATCCCTCCCCAACCCCAGGGTCTTTTAGCTAGTGAGAAATCCCCGGAACCATAAGGATTCTAGAGTTTAATCAAGTGCCATCTCACATCCATCCCCCCACACCACCACACAGACACACAGACACCAAGGGCCAGAGCTTCTATGAAGAGATAGAAGTTGATATTGCTGTCAGCACCATGGCCAGGGAAAGCCAAGGAGCAGGGACCTATTTCAGCACTAGGGTCAGGGACAGCAAAAAGCAGCCACAGCATCAATATGGACAATGGCAGGCTTTATAAGCTTTATAAGCGAGCTTAATAACCAAAACAACAATGACAATAATAAAAACAATACCAATATCAGCAACAGAAACAACCAACATACCGCCATGTAAAGATTAAAATACACTACCAGGCATTCTCTTTTGGAGCTTTGGGAAGATTTGGTTCCTTGCAGAGAGCATCTCAGACTCAACTGAGCTCCTAGATTTGGTAAAGGTGCATTGATGAAATGAACAGAAACTTTCCTGGTAAGAGTCTCTCTAGGTACGCCCCTCCCAGTACCTTTGCTCTTGGGATACATAACTTGGTGTGGTAGCTTGAATATCGGACTTGGGGTCAAGTAGACTTTGGTTCAAATCCTACCTCCAATATTTCCTAACTACATGGCCAGCCTCGTTTCCTAATCTCTAAGATGGAGATAGGAATCCTTGTAGTGTACCAGCTTCCTAGGGTTGTTATCATACCTCAATGAGATAAAGTGTAAGAAATACTTAGAAAAATCTCAAAGAGCCACACAAATGTCAGTTACCTTTATCATTAACAAGGTTTTACAGGTGTCTGTTTTTTTTTCTTTAGGGAATAAATCTGACTTTGCTTGATACCTCCATAATAGCTGAAGACAAGCCTTCTCACAGTAAGTCCACAAAGATAAGACCTTCCTGAGACCATATCACTGTTGCATTTACAACCTGCGACTCTAAACCATTAGAGACGTTTTGAAAGGTATGAAACTGCCCTGCCCTGGGTCATCCAAAGATAATCATAAAGTCATGAAGATAATAATTCTCTGAAAGTGGAAGGAGAACCCACTAAGGCCATCCTTAAAGGGCATGGAGTGGGATAAGGGGCCAAGATTGAGAATGTTCCTTGGCAGTAGAGGACTCCAGAGGTGCCTAGTGAGCAACTGAGGGTCCTGGTCTTTGAAAAACCAGCCAAATCTGCTAATCGTATCACTCAACATATTTATCCAAGTAAAATCAGACAACAATGGACACTGAGGTCAGCTCTGCAGGGGTAAAAAAAAAAGTCCCCAAATGGAAGCCGGAGGTGGAATGATGGATACTGCCTCTTCCTTTTACCTTAGTGGCATGGAAGTAGCTGGCATGTGGACAGAGGCAACTCCTACATGATCCTTCATGAATCCCCTACAGAACTGGCTGATCTGCTCAGAAGGGGACCAATATTTTCCTCACTCCTTTCCCCACAAAAATGCTCAGGCTAAGTGGGTCAGAGTGGTGACTCCTGGAGACATCTCCTTCTTTTCTTAGGGTATGTAGTTGGTCAGTAGGATTTTATTAATTGACTATTATATGCCAAGCACTAGAGTTAGCCCTCAATCTCTACTGTAGATCTGTGGGAAAAGGAGATATCCTCAGAGGACAATGGCACTGGGCCTGGAGGCGAGGGTGGGGAAGGGGAAGGCTAAACCCACCCTTTGGGTACTTTTTCAAAATGTGGAGGGAGCAATAATGATCTGAGCCCCTGGACACTTAACAGAGTGGCTCTTCCTATTCCTGCTCTGAATCACTAGAAACAAACTGTCCAGTCTGTAAAGTCTAGGGGCCAGTCAAGCAGTGCAAATAGAAGAGAGGATTGCTACCCAGGGAATACAAAGTAAAAGAAATGAGACTTCTCTGTGGAATTGGGAATGAAAAATTCAGAAGGACTGGATTCTGGTTCCAGTCCTGTCACTAATTTACTATGCAATCTGTAGTTAGTCATTTTTCTTGCCTGGGGCTATTTTCCACAACTGCAAAACTAGGGGATTGGCCTGGTTAAGAAAAAAAAAAAAAAGGCAGTGACCAACCGATAGACTCTGTTCACAGCCAGGTGTCTTTTACATTTTATTTTATGTTGTTTTCATTTCACTGAATAATGACTGGTATTAAGAACGTCTTAGAGTCCCAAGGAACATGCTGGTAAGCATACTATCCTGTCAGCCTCACTTTGCTTTGGAGAGTATTTACCCCTATGGTTCACCTGAACCTCACTGTGAGCCAGTTTTAATTAAAACAATTCCTATTAAAGACCATAAAAAACTTGGTTTAAAAGCTCTCTCTGTGAAGTCAGCCATTTCTTTGGAAATTCATACATATTTTCAATCTATTTATAAGGAATTATTATAATTTACATGGACTTGTAGGTTAACCTGATCCTGTTTCTAACCCTTTCCAATCAATCAGTCAAAAATAACATTTTCATTGTATAAAAAAAAATGATGTCGAACTGGATGCCCAGAGAGGTCCCTCCCAGCTCAAATATTATAGGGCCTATGCTCTAGCATTCTACATTTTAGGGCTCTTTCTAGCTCTGACCTGCATTCTTTGTTCTAAGTGCCTTCCTAGCTCTGACATTCTTTGTTCTGAGGGCCCTCCCAGCCCTGATATCCCTTATACTAAGCTTCCTCGCACATCTGATACTCTGTAATCTAAGGTGTCTCCCAGCTCTGACAGTCTATAATTCTGTGCATCCTTCTCACATTGCAACAGAATCTAAGAAAGCTCTAAGTCTATGTGAAAAGTAGATCAGAGGGGTCAGGCCATATACAAGTTTCTATCCCCCAAGATGTCCTATGGTTCCTGGTTACACAGCTGTGAAGGAGAGTGGAGATTCTATCCCGGATCTAGTCTTGGGAACAAGTATACTTGGCTATGATCATCAGAGTTCTAGAACTAGGAAGGATTTTAAAGGTCATCTAGTCCAACTGCCTCATGTTGCAGATAAGGAAATTGAGGTCCAGATATAGCCTGTATTGTTATCTGCCACAGACATTGTGCTACATTGTATGCAAAGCCAAAATAAGATGACTTTTACCTAAGGGTTTACATAAAGTGTATGTTGGCTAGCAATATTTGTTGAATATAAGGAAAGGGACATCAAATCCTCAGGGTCTGACCAAAGTCACAGCGGAAACAAGAGTATAAGAACCTCAGTCAACAGGGTTACTCAGCTTCCACACTCCAAGAACAAACAGGATCTCAATACCTTTGACCCAACATGAGAAATTGAGCTTGGAACTAAAGAGATCCTGGAATGAGAGTTGGACCAGGTCCTCTGGGACCCTCCAAAACAAAGGAGATGGTCTCTCATCTCTCGGGAATGCCACCTAGAGGCAAAGCAATGGAGATGACCTCTCAAGTTTCCTTCCTGACCCAAGATCCTATGACTCTGCCTTCTCTATATTCTATTCAATCCCACTCAACATGAACATTTACTAAGCACCTATCCCATGCTAGCCTTTCTCAGAGCCAAAAAGACTAGAGACAGGAGGCTGGTAAGTTTGGCATACTTATCTGCAAGGCTCCTGCCTGGCATGTTAGGGGATGTCCAGCTGCTGGAGTCCTGGAAACACCTTTCTTTTATCACAGGAAATGGAAACACTCTGGAAATCGATTCCACAACACTGGAAAACGAGAAGGCTCTTCTGGTGTCCAAACAGCTCCCTTGTCCTGGAAGTATGTAAGCAAGGTTCATCGGGGGAGGTGTAATTCTAGACACTGCTTTCAGGGGGAAGGAGAACTAAAGCAGTAAATCTGAAAGTTGTACGTCAGGAGGAGGCACTATGTCTACCACAAACAGACCTGCATCTCAAGGAAGGAGCTAAGAAAGTTCTTTGCTCAATCACATATAATGTGAGACCAGTTCTGGTCAGGAGTAATTCTATTGCTTACATGGAGATTACACTGTATCCACCCAGCCCTACCTCCGACTGATTTCTGACAATAAATTTGAGTCTCTGGGCAAGTTTCTCAAACTCCCTGAGCCTTTCAGCTTTAAATCTGTGATCTTCCTGACCAACACTTCTCCATGCAGAAATCATTCAGTAATGTATTGCCATTTCAACCTCACTAAACATTCCACTGGGGAAAATCCTCCCCCTTCACTCCCAGACTCCCCCTGCCCAGTGATTTTGAGGGCTCTCCAAGACCCGCTTGAGCCACTGGGAGGGGTGGAGACTGTTACCTTCCCAGGGCTTCCTTCAGTCTCCTGTCCATGGATCTCTTCATCAGCTCTTGGATCTCCGTCCCCATGTGGAAACATCCCTTAGAACTCCACCACTGATGAACACTGCTGGGCAAAGTCACAACACCGTGATGAAATTACAATATATTATCTAATCTCTCTGAAAGGCAGTGTGGCATAGTAATAAGGATAATAACAGATAAAATGTATATAGCACTTACTATGTGCCAAGCCATGTGCTAAGCACTTTATAATTATTATTTCATTTGTTCTTCACAACAACCCTAGGAGATAGGTGCTGTTATTATCCCCATTTTACAGATGAGAAAAATGAGGCAAACTGAAGTGAAGTGACTTGTCAAGGGTCACATAGCTAGTAAGTGTCTGAAGCTGGATTTGAAATGAGGTCTTCCTGACTCCAGGGCTGGCACTCAGTCCACTAGTGGATAAAGAGTTGATCTGAAAGCCAGGAAGGCCTGGGTCCATGCCTCAACCTCTGACACACACTGTGTGACCAAATCACTTAACCCCCAGACTGTAAGATGCAAAAAAGGTCCTAATCTTAATGGATAATGGGAGTTCCCTCACCTGGGGATTCCCCCAAGGGTGGGGAACCTGTGACCTTGAGGCCACCTGTGACCCTCTAGGTCCTCAAGTGTGGCTCTCTGACTGAATCCAAACTTCACAGAACAAATTCCCTTAATAAAAGGATTTGTTCTGTAAAACTTGGACTCAATCAAAAGGCTGCACGCAAGGACCTAGAAGGCCACAGGTTCCCCACCCCTATGGGCCTATACCAACGAACTCACAAATCCAGTCTCTGTCCCCATCTCAACGGGGCCATCAACGCTCCACGGAAATCATTTACACTGTCCTAACTGAATCTCTATCCCACTCCCTACAATCTCTATCCCAAGCCACTCCTTTCTCCCCATCTCATCAGAAGACATCAGCTCATATTTAACCAAAAAAAACTAAGGCCTTCTGATGTGAGTTCTTTCTCTCAAATTAAACACCTAACCCTTATAAGCATCTTTACCCACTATCTTTCCAACCCCTTACTTCCATCCCAATCCATCTCCTCCAGGAGTTTGTCCCTGTTTCACCCTCTAATTTTCAGCCTCTCTTAACTTGCTGGTGCTTTCCCTGTTGCCTATAAACATATTCAGATCACCCCCAATTTTAAGAAAAATCTTCACTTTGCCCTCCCATCCCCTCAAGATACTTCTATCCATTTCCTCTTTTATTCTCAGGCAAACTCCTAGAAAAAGCTATCTACATGAAATGTCCATATATTTTGACCCAGACATCTCACTGCTTGGCATATACCCCAAGGAGCCCAATGACAAAAAAAAAGAACACACATGCATCAACATAGCAGTACTTTCTCTCCTGTCAAAGAACTATAAACAAATTGTGCCCATAAATATCACGGAATATTATTGTACCACAAGAAACAATGGATGAGGAATTACAATAAGCATGGAATGACTTCTTTGAACAGATTCATAATGAAGTAAACAGAACCAAGAAAACAATATACACAATGGTTATCACACTGAGGTAGCCAGATGGCGCAGTGGATTGAATGGTGGGCCTATCTGATTTCAAGTCTAGCCTCAGACGCTGACTATGGATGTATGACTTTGAACAAAGCACTTAACCTCTGTTTGCCTCAGTTTCCTCAACTGCAAAATGAGGATGGCTAACTTGCTAAGCAGCTACTTCACAGGACTGTCTGAGGATCAATGAGAGAATATTTGTAAAGTGCTTAGCACACTATGTGGCATATAGTGGAGGCCATATAAATACTTATCCCTTATTCCCTATTCCTCCATTTACAATGAGGGAGGGGGACGATGAAACTGAATACTGCAGAATTCTACTGACCAAATTTTTTCCTTTAGAAAAAACATCTTTTTTCTTTATTGGAGAAGTTGAGGGGAAGGGGGTCTATGTGGGTAGGATGTTGTACATACTGTCAAATGCTGTTGCGAGGAATGTTGGTTCTGCTGAGCTATTTTAATAGCTTTTAATCTTTTTAATTTCTTTTAAACCTTTGGGACAAAAGAAGGCTCACTGGGTTAAGGAATACAGAAGGATATATTTATAGATGAATGTGATACAAAAACCAAAGAAAAAAGCATCAATTAAAAAAAGAAAAAGCTGTCTATCCTCATTTCCTGTACTTCCTCACTTCCCACTCAAACCACTGTGGACTGGCTACAACCCACCCAGCCCAGCAAAGCTGCTCGCTCCATGGTTTCCAATGACTTCATAATGGCTGAATCCAATGGCCTTTTCCTAGGCCTTTTGCTTCTGGACAGTGTTTGACATTCTTCCCCTGGGGATCCTCTCCTCCTCGATTCTTCTTAATATTGTTCTCCTGGTGCTCTTCCTATTCTTCAACATCCTTTGGAATATCACGACCTATGTGCCACTCCCGTATTTGTGGGGGCACTCCGGAGCTCTGTCCTGAGCCCTCTACTCTTATCTCTATATATGATTTTTCCAGGTGATCTCATCAGCTACCACAGTTCCACGCATATAAGACTAAAATCTATACATCCAGCTCTCATCTCTCTCCAGAATTCTAGCCTTGCATCCCCAATCCCTGCACAGCTATAATAATAATAACAACAACAGCAATGACTAACATGTATATAATGCTCACTATATGCTAGGTATTATACTAACTATAATTATAATCATTATCTCATTTGATCCTTACAACCCCCTGGAAGGTAGATGCTATTTAAACTGAGGAAAACAGATGTGAGGTGACTTGCCCAAGGTGACATAGCTAGTGAGTGTCTGAGGCCATATATGAACTCAGGTCTTCCTGACTCCAGACCCAGTACTCTATCCATTGTACCACCTACCTGTCCCTATGTGTGTGTTTATACCTATATATGGGCCTGCTGACTCTCCAACAGAATGTAGGGTCCTTGAGGACAGGAACCGTTCAGCTTTTGTCTTCTCCTGCATGTATCACTTCCTACCTGAGGCCTTTACTGATCCTCCAATGCCTAGCATCTGGCACATATAGGTGCTTATTGATTTATCAAATGCTAATTAGTTCATATCTAAACCTGGATGTCTCATAGCCTAAAATCTGACGTCCAAAAGAAAGCTCCAAATCTTTTACTAAAACCCATCGCTCTTCCCAATTTCCGTATTTCTTCTGAAGGTACCACCATCCTTCTAGTCAACCAGGCTCACAACCTCCAAGTCATGTTCAATGAAATGTCTGTCTCACTCTTGGGTTTCCATAGATGTTGTCTTTTCAAGAGTTGGGGTCCTGTCTTTCAGATATGACAAATTGTTTCCCGCTTTCATTACCAGACAAGAATTCTCACATGTGTCTTTTTATCAGAGCAGCTAAATTGGATGATTTTATCCCCAAACCCTGTCCTGCTCCAAGTCAGTTCCCAGGACTGTGGATGACATAGTGAGCATCCTTAAAGGATCCACTCTCCCACCCCCTGACATCCCTAAGCCTTCTTAATTCCTATCCTCAATGCAATTCCTCTCTGTCTATAATTGTGTAAATAGGCCATTTTATTCACTGACACTTTGGGATGGGAAGACTGAGTGAAACCTCCAGCTATAGCTGTTCACAATAAACTGTGAACATTCTGCCTGCTAATCAAAATGTGAACTTTTCTTTTAGTATGACAGTTAAATCCCAGAATAGCCTGAAATTAAGTGGACTGCTGCTACCAAGCCCAGAAATCTCCCGTTGATACGTCACGCTATGTTTTAGTTACCCTTCATCCACACACTTAGGGCTCAGAAGGAGTTCCCTGTTGCCTAGCAGAATCCTGAGCTTTCTATGAGGCTCAGTTCAGTGACCACCTCCTACATGAGGCTTTTACTCAGCCCCCTTTTATTAGAGCTCTCTGCCTCTTTATATTACTTTAGAAAGACATAACATAACATAAAATAGGGACTACCTCGGAGGCCCTGAGACCTGGGATGAAGTACAGCCTCTTACATATACTAGCGCTATGACTCTGGGCAAGTAACTGAACTCTGGTAACTTGCTAAGACAGTAACATGGATTAGCTGCCGATGTGCATGGATAGAAAGAGTTCCCTCCATGGATAAAATCCCAAGTCCAAATGTTGGGGATGTTGTAAAGAGGATTCCTGGTTAGCTGTGATTTGGCCTAGATGGTCTTTAGCATCTCTCCCAGCTCTGTCATTCCCTGTTCTAAGACCCATCCCAGCTCTGACATCCTATGTTCTAAGGCCCCTCCCAGCTTTGACATTCTAAGTTCTAAGGCCCTGCCTAACTCTGACATTCCTTGTTCTAAGACCCCTTCCAGTTTTGGACATTCTAAGTTTTAAGGCCCTTCCTAGCTCTGATTTTCTGTTATAAAGCTTTTCCCAGCTCTGTCATTCCCTGTTCTAAGGCCCCTCCCAGCTCTGACATTCTATGTTCTAAGGCCCCTCCTAGCTCTGACATTCTGTTATAAAGCCTTTCCCAGCTCTGATATTTCCTGTTCTAAGAACCTCCCAGTTCCAACATTTCCTGTTCTAAGGCCCCTCCCAGCTCTGACATCCCCTTTTCTAAGGTCCCAGCCAGCTCTGATGTTCCCTGTTCTAAGGCCTCTCCCAGCTCTGACATTCTCAAATTTAAGGAATGTTTGTTGGATTGAATTGAATCCAAGCAAATTGACCATATTTTGTGAGTCATAAAGTCTTCCAGAAATATCACCAATTTGAGAACTGGAAGACATGAATTCTTTCACTCATTTGGGCAAATTACTTCCTCTCCCAGAGACTTACTTTCTTCCTGCGCTAAAGGAGAAGGCTGGATGAAAGAATTGCTAGTTCATCTTCTAGCTCTACCATCCAATCATTCTGCCCCATTCAGTGGTGATATGACTAGTCACCAGGGACATGTCATGATCCTCTAGATCTTTTCTCCAGATTCCAGTTAATATCTATGGAGACCTTTGCAAATCTTAATGCACCATATGAATGCTAGCTATTGTTACTATAAATTAAATTTTTGTTGTTGTTCGGTCATTTTCAGTTATATTGGATTCTTCGTGACTCCATTTAGCGTTTTCTTGGCAAAGACACTGGAGTAGTTTGCCATTTCTTTTTCCAGCCCATTTTACAGATGAGAAAATTGAGGCAAACAGGGTTAAGTGGCTGCCCCAAGTCACACAGGTGGTAAGTGTCTAAGGCCAGATTTGAACTCAGGAAGATGAGTCTTCCTTACTGCACGCCCAGCACTCTACCCACTGCTCCACCTAGTTGCCCTGTAAATGAAATATAACATTAATTTATTAAGCACTTACACTGTCCCAGGAGCTCTGCTGGGTGCTGAGAGTACAGACAATGCCAAAACAGCCTCTGTCCTCCAGGCACTTCTGTTCTACTGGATGGATAAAATGTATGCACAAAAACATAGATCCAAAGTAATTTAGGGAGGGAAAGATCACTAGTAATTTGGCAGGGAAGTCCAGTGGCAAAAGCCCTGAGAAAAGGCCGCTGTGAGATTTCCCAGTTGGGAGATTGTTACTAACCTTGGAGACGGCCATTCCCTGTTGAGTGATGTGGGTCAGAAGCCAGAGTCCACAAGAAGTAGGGAGGACATGTAGACCAGGGGTATACAGGAAGCCTTCTAGAAGTCTGGCTCTGTCTGGATGGAAAGAGAGATAGAAGAGGATGCCGTGAGGAGATGGGAACACCAAGTGATGATCCAGAGATCTGGCCATAGCTGTAGTCATCAGGGAAAAAACCAGTGCACAGAGAGACAATGAGCATGAGAAAAGGGAGGGAGAAAGACTGAGGGGGCCTGTTTCCAGGGAGATGGGAGGAAGTGGGATCCAGGACAAATATAGAAGAAATGACTTTCATTATCCTCATAGATGATTCCTCTCCTCCTCAGAGAAAGAAGAGAATGGTGTGAATCAGGAGAGAAGACAGAACTCATGGTTCAGTCTCTATCATCTCAGAAATAGAAGTTAGGTCCTTCTGTGAGAGGGAGTTAATTGGGGGAAACTGTGCAGGGAGCCTATGGATCTATATGAATTACGCCATTCAAAGGCCCCTCCCTCCTCCCTAGCTCTGACATTTTCTGTTCTAAGGTCCCTCCCATTCATGACATTCTCTAATCTAAGGCCCCTCCTAGCTCTGACATTGATGGTTCTAAAGTTCTTTTGAGTTCTAGACATTCTATTTTCCATGCTCTATGTCCCCTTCCTGCTCTGACATTCTATGTTCCAAAGCTCTAGAATTCTATAAAACTGTGTTTTCCTAAATATATATTAAGCTGATGATAACTGCTCCTCATCTGTGGCCTTAGTGGTTTTGCTCACATGTGGTTTCTGAGCAGGGAGGGAAAAGCAGCATCCAGGATCTATGAGATCTAGGGTGAGCAGGGGGAAAAGTGGATCACACATTTGGGAACTGAGCTACCTGGGGGCAAACAGCTACTAAGTGTAGAAAAGTGTGGGTAGCAGAAAGAACACTGAGCTTAAACCCAGAAGTCTTGGGTTCTAGTAGCCTGAGGGAATCCATTCACCGGTCCAGGTCAGTTTCCACTTCAGTTAAATGGAGGGTGCAATACCAGCACTGTATCTCAAAGGCGTCACGAGGGTCATTCTCTTTTCAGAGAGTAGAGGACAGGGCACTTCGAAAACCAGAGCACCCTGGGGAACTGATAGGGAGAACCAGGGGCTTTTTTGATGGGGTAGGGAGATCAGAAATGAATGGGGACCAGACTTCAGCTCTCTATAGGACAGTATTAGTGTCTGTCTCACTCTCCCTCTTCCATGCTCTTCCCACTTCCCTCCCCTTTTCTCTCTTCTTCCCTCTTTCCCTCCCTCCTCTGCTTCTATCTCTGTCTCTCCTTTCTGTGTCTGTCTCTCCTCTCTCTCCCTCCTCACTTGTCTTAATAAGTCTTTAGATTGCACTCTCCTCTCCCCCTCTTCCTCTCTTCTCTTTATTCTTTTTAGATGTCTCCTTTGGCCCCCTCATCACCTCCCTTCTCCTCTCTTTTTCTCTGACTGTATCTCTGTCTCTGAGAAAGTCTGTGACACTCCATCTCTTTCTCTCTGTATATGTCTCTAACTCTCTTTCCTCTTTTTATTTGTTCCTTCTCCTCCTCCTCCCCTCTCAGTAACCCTCTGTATGTCTCTTTCTTTCTCTCTCCCCTTGCCTCCTCCTCTCCTTTATCTCTCTTCTTCTCTCATGTCTCTGTCTTGTCTGTATCTCTGTCTCTCTTTGACTCTCTGTCTCTGTTTCTTTCTCTCTATCTATCTATCTGTGTGTGTGTGTCTGTCTCTCTGTCTCTTTGTCTGTCTCTCTGTCTCTGTTTCTCTTTGTGTATGTGTGTGTGTCTGTCTCTCTCTCTTCCCATGTGTGTCTCTATCTCTGTCTCTCCATCTCTCTGTCTATCTCTGTATCTGTTTCTGTGTCCCCCTCCCTATCTCTCCATCTCTCTCTGACTCTCTGTCTCTGTCTCTCGCTCTGACTCAGTCTCTGTCTCTCTGCCAGTCTCTGTCTCTGTCTGTCTGTCTGTCTCTCTCTCTCTCTCTGTCTCTCTCTGTCTCACTCTGGCTCTGGTTCTGACTCAATCTCTCTCTGTCTCTCTCTCTGTCTCTGTGTCTCTTCTCTCTGTCTCTCTTTCTCTCCTCCCTCCATCTTTTTCTCACTCCTCTCTTCTCTCCTCTTTATCCCACCAGCTGTTTTCACCAGGATGTTTTCTGCAGTTTGGGTGTGTGCCTGAGAATTAGCTTGAGCCACAGAGCCCACTAATGCCCAAAAGCTCTGAACAAGCCACTGCTTCAGACACCTTCCTGCCTCCTCCACAGGGCAGCCCCCAGCAGGAGATTCTGGCCTCTAGCTGTTGAATCTTGAGGGAAGGGGATGGCTTCTAGTCCAAGGCAGACCCCACCCTTCTTTTGCTACTGCCACACTCAAGCCTTGACTCCCTGTTAATTCTTTAACAGGAATTAGGGCCAGGAAATTGCTTTCAGGCATTGCTCTCAAAACTGAAGAGATCCCACACCCTTCAGGGTCCCCAAATATGCAGGTTCTCTGAGGTCGTTCCCAACTAACGAGTGTCAACGTGGAGATAAAGTCAGAGTTAGGAAAATGATACAATGGCTCCTCAGCTAGGGCTAGGTACCTAGGCCTGGATGCCTGGGTTCTGTCTGAGCCCTGATCTGAATCCCTAGAGAAAATGGGGAGGGGTCTCCATTTGGGGAGAGGGCCTCACTTTTCTGGAATAATTGAAACATGACTAGAAGAACCCAATTTCTTCCCCCTGCAGAGTTCTTCTGAAGTTGAAGCAGGAAAATAAAGGTAAATCTTTGGAGATCTCAGGGTCCCAAGGCCAGAAGAAAGCTGGCAGGTGCTCTGCAGTATATGAGGGCTGGGGGAGGGAGGAAAAGACCAGAGAAGGGCTGCTTAAGATGCTGTCCAGGCTTCAAAAGCTTCTCCCTGGTTATTGTCCAGGGGTGACCCCACCCTACCAACTGCAGCAGAAAATGGCTCCCCCCTCCCTCATACTGCAGCCCCAGAGCCCATCTGCTGCTCTTTTGTGGGAGCTGGGGGGGTTAGGGGGGTGCTGGATGATAAGTCCTTTGTTCTTCATCTTGCTGATTCTTCAGCTGCAGGACACAGCAGACTTCACCAGGATGCCAGCTGGGAATCCTAAACGGGACACTGGGAAGGCCAGTCTACACTGGCCCTGGCCTCCTCCACTTTGCTGCAGCACAAATCCCTTGGGCCAGGGTGTGTGTCAGAGAGAGTGGAGAATGGCTAGGAGGGGAGGTATCTCTAAGCCTCCATCCCACCCCTGTTGAGGATGGAAGCTTTCTGCAGGGCTCTGTGTGGACCCTGGCACCTGGGGGAAGGGAGAAGTGCTCAGCTCCTCCCATACCTCTAGGTTTGGAGATGGGGTTAGGGAGGCAGGGATAGGGATGGGCAACAGGAGGGGGGTGAAGAAGAGGAGGGGGATAAGAATAAGTATGGGGCTCAGGCAGGGGATGGAGATGGGGATAACCTGGGGATGGGGAGGATGTGGAAAGGGCATAGGGATGGGGGTGGGATTCAGGTTAGGCGTGGAAATGGAAGTGAATATAAGGAAGGGTAGGGGGATGGGGATGGGAATGGGGATGAGGTTCAGTGTAGGATGGAGATGGAGATGAAGACAGGGAACGGGGAAGGGGAGGGAGAGGAGAATGAAGATGGGGGAAGGGAACAGGGATGAGAATGGGTTTGGGGATGGGGATGACGACAGGGAAGGGAGGGATGATGACTTGTGGGTCGGGGATGGGGAGGAGGAGGAGGAGGATGGGGACGGAGACAATGATGGGGAACGAAAGGGGGGGGGAATGGGGATGGAGTTAGATTTAGGAATGGGAGGAGGATGAGGAAGGGGACGAGGATGGGGATGGTGATGGGATAGAGCTGGGTCCAGAGATGCGGGTGGGGTAGGGGTCGGGATGTGGGTCGAGGAGGGGATTGGGATGGGAATAGGGGTGGCCTAGGGGTGGCTTACAGGAGTGGAGATGAGGTTGAGGTCGGTGCTTGGGGGAATAGGGCCGTGAAAAGAAAGCAGGAAAGGGAAAGTCTCAGCCTTACCTGGCTCCCTCCCGGCGGGCCAGCCAGGGACGTTTCTGAGGTGCAGTGGTCTGGGTGAGCAAGGCACGCAGGCAGCAGCGCAGAGGAGCGCGCATCCACCCTGCTTTGTGCGAGGCTCCAGGTGGCTGCTGCTGCGGTGGAGAGGGAGGGCAGGACTGGGGAGGGAGAGGACGAGACTGCAAGTCTGGGAAAGCAAAGGCCCAGCACGCTCTCCGCCCAGCCGTAGCCGCAGTCCCCAGCCTCCCCAGCCGCGCCTAACTGCCCTCTGGTCGCAGCAGCTAAGCTGGCTCTGGCTCTCTGTGGCTGGCGCAAAGTGGGGAGGTCCCAAGCAGCGCCAATCAAACGGGGGCGTAGGAGAGACCGCTCTCTGAGGAGGACACCGCCCAGCCCCGCCCCTCCCCCCCTCCCGGGCCTCTGCAGGGACCCTGGAACTAGTTGCCCCCAGCCTCCCCCTCATTTCCCTCAGCCTGTTCCTCTCTGCCCTCCGGCGCCCCAGAGCCCCTCCTCTTTCCTAAGCGCCCCCTCCCCGCCTCTTTCCTCCCAGCTGATCCAATTCTTCCCCCTCGGCTGCAAACCCCCTACCAGCCTCCTTGCCCTCGGGCCTCTCTCCACCCCACCGTTCCCTTCCCAGTGCCCCATTACCCCATCCCTTACACCTGCTACCCCCTTCCCTCCTCCCCACCCCGAGGCTCTCAGCAGGCGGCGGGGGCAAAGGATGGGAGGGGGAAGAGGAGAAAAGACTCATTTAAGTGCGTGCCTCAGATCTGGGGCCGCAGTCCCGCTGAGCTTGTCCATCTGGACCAGGTTGAACAGACCCCCTCGAGCACCAGCTGCTGCCTGTCCCGCACCACCCCCTTCCATCCCCCAGGGCAGCTTGCAGCCTATTCTTTTCGCGTCTGCCCAGACCAGCTGGGCTGCCATGGCAACAAGAGCCGCGCTGGGCCCAGGAAACCAGGCCGGAGAGGGATGGAGGGGGTGAGGAGCGTCACCAAGGACCCCCCCTTTCTCCAGCCTTCATCCCCCATCTCCCATCTCCTATTCTTCTGGACCAGCCAGCTGCGCTGATGTACCCCTATGCTGGGCACTGCGCTGCTCTAGAATGAGACGCTTCCCCAAGAAGACTGAGGCATTGGGGACCCCTTCCTCCACCAGCACCCTTCCCCCCTCCTCCTCTGTCCTCGCAGTCTAATTCTGAGGGCAATACAAGATGATACAATCCGTAGAGTCGTAGGAGGTCCCAGGACGGCCCTTCACCATCTTGGTCTCCCTCCTCTCTACCCTTTCAATGGCCCCTCCTAAACGGTAGGGCTCAGAACGAACCACGACACTGCAGTCTGACCCGGGCAGATGACCGTGGAATTATCTCCAACCTTGACCTAGCAGCTAGACCATCCTTAACCTAGCCTAAGGCCCCATTCAGTGTTTTGGTTTCCTCTTAGTACATTGTTTAAGGTCACACAGCCCTTACATGTCAGAGAGAAGCCTTCAACTCCAGTCTCCCTGGCTTCCAAGCTAGCCACACTACACTAGGCAAAGTGTCTCTACAAGGGGCCTTAGTGAAAGAAGTTCCTGCTGCACCAATAAAATCATAGGGCTAGTCTGTATCCCGCACTACTGCTCCTGTTGCTGATTTGTACTGACTTCCTGGTGCATTAAGGCTCCCAGGTCTTTTTCTCATAAACAGTCCATCTCTCTCACACACACATACACACATACACACACCTTTGTTTACACTTATCTAGTATACTCATCATGTGACTGTGTTACTAGAGTTGAAATGCAAGCTCACTGAGAGAAAGGACTACTTGGCTCATGTCTTTTTGTCCCCAGTGCCTAGCACAGTGCCTGGTACACAATAGTTGCTTAATAAAAGCTTCTTCACTGGTTGATTCATTGGTAGGACTGTTCTTGATGTTTACTTGTGTCCAACTCTCTGAGACCCCATTTGGGGTTTTCTTGACAAAGGCACTTGAGTGGTTTTCCATGTCCTTCTCCAGCTCATTTGACAGATGAGGAAACTGAGGCAAACAGGGTGAAGTAACTTGCCCAGGATCACATAGCTAGGAAGTGTCTGAGGTTGTATTTGAATTCAGGTCTTCCTGACTCCAAGTCCAGCACTTTGCTCACTGTGTCACCTAGCTGCCCTAGTAGGGCTGTTTTCATATCTTATACCTTGCCTAGATTATGAGCTCCAGTAGGATGGGGTCATCACATCCTATCTAAACTCTGAGTCTTATGAGTCTCATCTAGGACCTGGCATTTGCAGGTACCAGATACATCATAGATCTTTGCTACGAAAAAAAAAATCTTTGATTAATGAATCATTTAATCCTATACTCATTCGTTGCCTAAGATTAAGGCTTTACAGCCATCCCGATTAAATTTCAGCTTTGTGATCTGGTCTTAGAGTTCTAGCCTGTGATGATCTTTCTGTATCTAGAGCCTGTCATTTAATGGCTATCCCTCCCACCTGTGAAAGAAAGAAAGAAAGAAAGAAAGAAAGAAAGAAAGAAAGAAAGAA